ACACAGATTGGGGTAATTCTGTCCCCTTGGTACCAATGTTGGGGTTTTGCTTTGCTTTGTTTCTGTTTGTTCCGTTTGGGTGCCATGTTCAAGACTTTTTATAAGCTTTGTGGAACTTCATATACTTTAAAACATATACATATACATGCTTCATAAAAAGATTTTAAATCTTTTAGCCTTCTTAAGTTTTATTTTAAACACATCAACTGTTGGAAAGCACTATAAAACTGCTAAGTATTAAATGTTGTTCTGATATTATTAATTGGATAGATCTATACAACTTTTGTAATGATTCAAATGTGTCTTCTCCAGAATGTTTAATAAGTGCAATCTTTTAAGGTGTTTTTAACAAATAGATGTTATTTTACATGACATTTATATAACAAAGCATATCTGTAACATCCTAGCTTTAGCTTTCCAGTTTCTCTATTGATTTGTAGTGCCTCCTTGTTTGTTTTGTTTTAGGTCTCATGTCAGCCCCCTGCCAGGCCTTCTGCATTCATTATATACTCTATTGATGAGAGAGCTCTAGATAGTTTGTAACTGAATGAAAAAAGTCTGCCACAGCAAATAATCAATGGCATTGAAGGCAACTGCAAATTATATTTATGCTTCCACAAACCATCAGTCACACAAAAGGAAGTCAGTTACCTAACAGGAAATGAGTAGACTGACATATATGTACAGATAGTATGATTCAACACATATTCATAGGAATTCTCCTTCACATGACATGCCGCCATACCTCCTCGAAAGCAGTGGTTTCCTACCTTTGGTCCTTCAGTTGTTTTACACCAACTCCCAGAAATCTCATCCATCTTACTAGCTGTTAGGAATTGTGGGAGCTGAAATCAAAACACCTGGAGGACCAAAGGTTGGGAAGCACTGCTTTAGAAGGTCCTTAGCCCTCCAGTGGGGATTTGGAGTGTGTGGGGATGCACAGAGAGGACAGGATGAAGAAGTCATCAAGCAAATACATACTATGGGATTCAACCCCTTATTTTATTCAGACATTCTATTTTCTAAGATTTTAGAGAGTGCCAGGGCTCCATGTTTCACCCTCTCCACACCTGACTTTCCCATGTTTCCAGGAAATGTCTGAAAGGAAGCTGGAATTTGTGTGCAACTAAATGCCATCACAGAGCAACAAGGTTGCTGACATGCCTCTATCTAGGAAAACGATTAATATTGACCAATATTAATTTCCTGGGATTAAATATCCCAGTTCCTCCTGGGATTTTGCCCTGTCTGAAAAGCCCCAAAGTGGCATGTCCAACGTCACCCAATGGGTTTCCATGACTGAGTGGGGATTTGAACCATGGCCTCCAAAGTTGTACTCAAATGCTCAAACCACAACAACATTGATTTTCAAATGAATCTTACATACTATACTGAGAAAACAATAACTGATTCTTTTTCCAACACTCCAATATTTACAGTTTCCAAGATTTTAAACTCTACTCAGATATAGACTGGTGGGATAGTAAAGGTATTTCCTTTTATAGGATATGTTGAGTTAAGGTTGGTGGTTTTTAAATACATGAGTTCAGAAGGATTTCTTAGAAGTGACACTGCCTTAAAGGCCAATAAAACTCCACACATAATTTTTTAAAAAATCTCAAAAAATATTCTAGATAAGCACTTGCTTTTTCCAGTCCCTTTGGTATCAGCACATTTTGCCAATTGCTCAGATTTGTATATGAGCACCACCACATTATCAGCATGTTCATCAATAATGTCTATGGCCAAGGATGACCTTGACAGTTGTCTCTGGAAATGGATAGATAACACTTACCCCCAGGCAGAAGCTAGAAGTCATACTAAATAAGGGGTGTTTTCAGTCAAAAACTGTGGGGAATCTTACTCAGCCACATGTGTCATGCAGAAGGCTAGGTCTAATCTAAAGATGTGCATCGATTCTGACACAGAACAGACTTAACAAATTACCCTGACTCCTAAAGATTTCTGTCTTGAGGCATTGCAGCCTAGGCAGATGGATCCTACAATAAGCAAAGATTTGTCAGGCACTGAGATACCAGTAATCTCAGCTGCAACCACAGATTTGTCAAAAATGTCATAATCTCCAAATCAGACTTCATACATTTGCACATTTCACACAACTTTCCCTTTTTGAGACTGAATAAATCATGAGCTGAAACAGATATCTGGAGTAAAATTTAGGTAAATGTGAAAGAATAAAGCAGATGTGACAGAAGATAGGGGAACTAATATTAACTTAGCTATATCAAACACTATATACTTATCATGAGTGATTGGGTGTCATTTGATTGCCATAACATAAAATGAGTACTGAAGGTGCATACTAGTGAAAATAATACTAAAACAGACAACATGAATAAAAAGTTGTAAATCTAGGAATTGAAAACAGTCTAAGGACCTCTTCAAATGGCCCCTGGAGCCAGACTGTTTCACCAGCAGTTGCCACGTTGCCCTTTCCCTCATCAGATGGAGGAAAGAGAAAAAAAAATTCAGGAAGTTCCATCAGAGCTACCCAAAATACACTTTTCTCTCCGTCATGGCAAAGGAAGGATCTTGCAAGCCTTCTCTTCCACTTCAGGAGGAATGGGTGTGGGGCCAAGCTAGCATCATTTGATGGTACTTGGCAGGCCCCGTACAGAAGAGGAAAAAGAGGCCATAAAAATCCCAATGTGATGTGACTGTAGAACCAAAATATTGCAGCATAGAGTGTTCAGGCTGGTTAGTAGACATGCTGCCATTCCCTACAATGCTCCATTGTTACCTTTTCAGACCAGTTTTCACAGCCATGGAATCATCCTAGAATCACAGACAAATAGAGTTGGAAGAGACTACATGGGCCATCTAGTCCAACCCCCTGCCATACAGAAAGAGCATCAACATTTCCCAGTTCAAAATGTTAATGCTGGTTGGGACATTCTGGAAGTTCTGGTACCAAAGAAGCAATTTTCCCCAAAACACAAACTATACCCTTAGGGGATGTCAAAGAGTTACCAGTCTCTAACAGTTACCAGTCTCTTCCTAGCGGTGCGTGTCTTCCCCATTTTGCTAAACAGCTGTGAGGAGGGATTTCATCTAATTTCTTGGTCACATGCTATACTTCTTTGTGCTCTTTAAAACACTTTGAGAGTTATTTGTAATCTAATAATAATTTATGGGCTTTTTTGATCCAGATGTATATCCTAAGGATGAGCCTACACTGGCTGCTACATCCAGGGCTAGTCCAAACTGGCCCTGGAGATGCTCAGATACACTGGTGGCCATGCTACCCAGTTGGTCTGACCCTACTAGATTATGATCTCACTCATCATGTTTCTGCTGTTGTTCCTCTCATTTTTCCTAGTTTTGTAGGGACCTCTGTTGATGACATAATGGGGTGCACATGATGGCCAGCAGTTTGCCCATAACTGGTCAGCTAGGAGTAATGGTGATGACAATACCAACCAGATCCAAGAAAAGGATGATGATGCCTATGTCCCATCAGGACATTGGATTGGTCTACATTGTAATCAATTCATTGTTTAGGCTGTCCGAAAGCCACAAGATACTCCAGAGTTTTCACCAAACTCCAGAGTATCCTCCAACTTTGCTCAAAGTGAAGCAAAATTGGTTTAACGATGTAAAAAACCAGCAATACTCACTGGAAGTTGACAAATGTTGTGGGAACACTTGCCCTTAGCTACTTTCCTATCAGTCCCTTTCTACTGTTTTGGGCCATTGTGTTTCCAGTGTTTTCTGTGTTTTTATTCCACTTTTATTTTGTAGGCCTCACTTATATATAATCTTTATTGAATTTTTTCTATTAAAATCATTAAAAGGCAAAAAAGAAAATAGAGAAAAGAAAGAAAAAAATGGAAAAGAAAAAAGTGAGAAAAAAAGAAGACAATAGAAAAAGTTAAGATAAAGAATAAATTGAAGTTTCTTTTTACTCCCAAGTGTCTTCCTTGAGGTTTCCTCCTTTTCCTTCTTTCTCTTAAATCATTCTCCCTCCCTTCTTTTCCTTTTCTGTTTCAGTGTATCTTCTTTTCTTCTTCATGTCAGCAACTTCTTGTTGTTTTGTTTTAAATATTCTGTACTTTGGCTCCAGCCTGTTTTTTCATTGACTTTCATTGTTTTTTTTCTCAAGACGGTAGGCCTCACTTATGACCTGTATTTTTAGTAAGGGAAAGTGGTACCCTGCTCTTAAAGGGTTGCTCCTTTCCATTTAAGGAAATATTTCTGGTTTGCAGATTCAGCCTGTTTAATTGATGTCCTGGTTAGGAAAGCTGGAAGGTTAGAGATAAACAGTGTATGACCCGTTTCTTTAATAGGATTTTAAAAAGGGGGACCAAAAAGTAGGGAGAAATATTGAAGGAAGTTTAAGGCCAATATATTTTAGCATGAGATTTCATTAATTTTAACCCTGTTCTTCAGAAGTAGAGGAACAATGATTCTCACATCAATTTTTGTTCCTTCAGAGCGGCTTTAATGATTTGTTTCTTTGGTTATTTCCCCATAGTTTCTGCTTAGCTATTCTTTTATTGTTTTTCACATAACACATTGCAAAGAAACCTTGGAATTAGAGCCTTCTTCCTTTGTAGGAAGATAAAATAGCACTAGAGTAATTAAGAGAAACTACTCAAGGGGCAAGCCTTTGCTCTTGATCACTCATGCCCCACCTGCACTCATGAAAATGCAATAAAACAAGCTGAACTTATGAAAAAGGAAGTTCTTAATTAATATTGCTAGGAACACAGGAAGCAAACACTCTAGATGGGTCTTGGCAATGGGATGAGACTGTTGTATAATACAGTATAAACCAGATGAAGAATTTAGGTGGAGCCATTATATTAGTTTTGCGGGGGGAGGGGAGATATTTCAGACAGCCTGGATCCAAACTACTGGTCAAAGGTTATAACCATCACTTTGAAATATATATTAGACAAAGAACATTTTAAAAATGAAAACCAAGTAAGGGGAGGATCTAAGGTTTTGGAGAAAAGAAAGGATATGTTTAGCCTTACTTGTACTGCAGTTCTCATATTCAATGTCATCTATTGCTGCACCTCCTCCAAGATCTTTGGTTCGGATGCCTTCAAACAGGACTGCAAAATTTCTCAGCTTCCCCAATTGGATTTGTGCTTTCTTCCACTGACCACTGTGAACTCCAGAATCACTCCAAACCTTCAAAAAACCATTCCCAATCTGGAGATTTAAAAAATAAAAGCTAAAGCTTTGGTGAACATGTAAAACAAGGGGTGTCAGACCTACACCTGATAAGTATATGAACTATTATTTGAAAACTGTAAAATGAAATAGATATGGTACTAGGTTATGTGCCATATTTGCTTGTGAGCATGGACAATGTAGTTCAACCCATCTGGAAAGCACCAAGCTAGGGAACACAACACAGACTTACATTCAATAGTCATACTATATTTTAAAACAACTTTGGGCCATAACAAAACACTATTTACTACACTTCTCATCTTCTAAGGCAAAATACCAACATCACAAATTATTCACTACAGTACAAGAAGCCATACATAGGGATAGCATATCAGAGGTTCTGCTGTTAAAACTATGCAGATGTAGCAACTGAGTGGTTGCTACTGGAGGTTCCCATTTCCCATCATTAATTGCCAGCCTGATCCTACCAAATGGAACCAAAGTGTTTGAATCCTCACACAAAGTAAAGGATCCTTTTCAAGAAAACATATTTGTTTCCTTCTTAAGCTCTAATATCTGGCATTGAAGGTAGGCTGACATGTAGTTAGCCCAGATGGGCATATTATGTATTCTTTGAGGTGCCAGAATGAGCCCAGAGCTTGTGCATTTGATATGTACAAGTTGTCATGAGGATTACGATACATGCATGATGATGCAAACAAGATGTCCATGGTTCTCATTATAGATTATGTGAACAGTATGACATGAATGATGATCTATAAATCTTGTTGTAGGAACCATCCCAGTTTTTATGCACAAGTGGACAACTTGTGACTTTCCAGAAAATGGCTTTTGACTCCCATTGCCCTTCTTCACTGGTATGCTGCCTAGGTCTGTTGGGGATTGCAGTTCAATGACATCAGGAAAGCTAAAAGTTGCCTTGTTAAGAAATCATGGACTAGCAACATAAAATCACAACTTTAAAAGACAATTATGAATGGTATGGGATGATCTATTTGGATTCAAACTCAAGTTTCAGAGACTTTAGAGTCTGTGAAGCTTCAGTCTTCCATTTGTTTATGTTATTGTGAAAATTATATATCTGATACCCTCATATGAGCTTTTATCAGACCATCTCCTCTCATGTGGCCACAAACACATGAATAACCTATGTACAAGCCATACTGAAGCAATATGGAAGGCCTCACCCACTAGTAGGAACATACTGGGGCCAAATTCTGAAGCTTGCTTTACACAGTTAACAATCCCTATATACTAGTCATATTTGACAAGTGTGGAAGAGTCTGGAAACCAAATTCAGTGAGGAATGGTTGAAAGACCTTGGCATATGTAGCTTGGAGAAGAAAATATTGAGAGGTTGCCACATGAAAGATAGAACAGTTTTGTTCTTGCTGTTCTAGAGAGGAGGACCTGAATCAATAGCTCAGGTTGCTGGAAAGAAAGAGACTGAACATAAGGAGCAGTTTTCTGATGGTATTAACTATTGGTCTTTGGAGATAAAATGCCTTGGAGAGTGATTGACTATATTTCCTTGGAAGTGTTTAAGCAGAGGTTGAATGCTATATGTCAATGATGTTTTATCTGTGGATTCCTGCATTGATATGGGGTGAATTGGTAGCTCTTGTTCTCCCTACCAACAGTGAAATCATATGATTATATGAATATTCATTGAATGACACGTGTATCAATTATCTTTAGGAGAAACTACTGCAGAGTTTGGAAACAATCCCCAGATTCCCCTAGTCAGCCTAGTAAAGGTAAAGGTAGTCCCCTGACATTAAGTCCAGTCATGTCTGACTCTGGGGTGTAGTGCTTGGCAATAGTGACTGGGAGTGTTAATCCACTAAGTACTTTCCCCAGGTTCTGTACCTGGCAGTAAAATTGATTCCAGTAATAGAGCACAGATATATGGTTTTTGCCCTACTCTTTCCTACATGCATTTAGAAACTATAAAGTGATTAGTAAACAGAAAATGAAACAAATTGGGCCCTTCTTGATACTTAACTTAAACGAATTATATGGATGCTAATAAAAAAATTATTATAATGAATGTAATTAATATGCCTACAGTGAATTCTACTTTGGAATGTGCTGAATCTATTCAGCCCATGCTTTAACCCACAGTTCAAGTAGTTCTGACACCTCCAGTTGAATGAAATTAGCTCTTACCCTACAACTCAGTAGCCCTGGAAGGATACTCCAAGGACCACGAGAAGCCATAGAAATCACAATATAAGCTTTTCAATGAAGACAACCACAGAGAAGGAGACTGATTTATCAATACTCCCACATGGTCCTACAAAATAAGCTCTCCAATGGCTGTTCTTATCTCAAAGGATGTATTTTAAACTTTCTACCTACTCCCAAAATGAGTGGGTGGGAGAATCTAGAATACAAGCTATAACTTTGGCTTCAATAAACCCCCTCCCTCATCTCTTTCAATGGACAGGGATTTTATTTCCAAGTTGAAAAAATAGCCCCAAGGAAGGAAAAAAATAAATCAACAGAAGTCTCCTCCTCATCAGAGGCACAGTTCACAAGGCAAATGCCAGAGGTTGGTGCAACAAAGCCAAGGTCAGCATTCCAAAGTCACAGCTCAATGTCCTACCAGCGAGAAACTAGCAGATCTTTTGGATACAGCAGTGCCTCTAAAACTAGAATATCATGGCTGTTAGTGTTTCACACATGTAGAACATGTGCCATGAAAGTGGTTGAATGTTTTTGCCATTGTTTCTTTATGTTTTCACTTTTTTGTATGCAAAATAAAATAACAAATAGGATAGCAGAGCCTGGGATAGTACCACTGAGCAAACCCTTTCTCTGTAATTTGGTATCGATTTCTATTGAGCTAATAACGAAGTTCTCATGCGTATGCCTTACAAATTGATTTCTGATAAAAAAAATCGTGCTATTCAGAGAAATGATCCATGCATGGTGCTGGTCTGCAAGCCATTAATTACTGGTTCATGGCAAATTTACAGGGAAGAAAGAAACAAAAATAGCCTATTAGTATAAATATGGCACTGGTTTCTGGCACATTTTTAGGAGGAAATCCTGTGGATCCCCAATATCAGATAGCTTAAGCAGCATTGGTAACGTGTATCGAAAGCTGATAAGCAGAACACATCTTTGCCATTCTTTGCTATGAAGACCTATTAGAGAAAGTTGTCAATAAAGCATGAGAAACTGATAAACACCAAGGCTAGTAAATGGAATTGGCTTTTGTTTAGCATAATGATAAGAAAATATGACAAGGAGAATCCAGGCACTTAATTGTAGCTAATCCTTTAGATGTCTCTGCACATACATGCAGTCTGCCCTTGAAGTCTCTTTGGTTTGAGAAAACATCCCAAAATATTATTAATATGAAGAGTCTGATTAATTTTACAAAACTAGATGAGAGCTTGCCATTGATTGGGGAATTAGGCAGGACATTTAATTGAAGTGGAAATTAATAATGGCAAGTTATAATGGAAAATTGATCCATTTATGTATTTACTGATAATAAAGTGAATTAGACCTATCTAGTAGTCCAGTATTAGGAGCATTAATTCTCTAGATTTATTTATAGATATGCTTTGTCTGACATCTAAAGAACATCTCTGCTAAAATATATGAATTCAAGCACTAAATAATCTTCAGAAGCATGCACACCTCTGATGCAAAATACTGCAATACAAAATCCATTACAATTATACAGCATAGTATTTGCTCTTACAAAATTTATAAAGATTTAATAAAACATCCAATGCAGTAAAACATTTAAGCATAACTTCTAACTGAAAATCTGTTTTAAAGATCCCCGAATAATTGGTCTCAAAACCAAAAACAAGGTACATTTTAGCCACATTTGGTCTACTTTTTTCACTGCTGGAGGGCTCCAAGTGTTTGGCCAAGTGATTGCTAGTATATGTATGAGGATCAACACAGATGTTCTTCTAAATATTGTATTGGCATATTTTTAGCCTTGCTTATCACCTGTTTTTGCACCAACATGGATTCCTCTAAATGACTAAACATCCAATTTTGCTTGGGTTTCAGTGAGTGTCCACCCTTTCTTAAACCAGCTTCTTATGACTTCATCACATGGGTTGCTGCAAGTGTGTGAAGGGGAAGCATAGCTGTGGGCAAGGAAGGGTGCCAGGATTACCTCCCTGCCCCGCCAATTCACGATGGAGGCTTGCAAATTGCAATGCTGGGGCTCATCAGTGTGATGAGGTCCTAAGTCTATCTATGTTAGGAATAGCTCTGCTGTGACACTCCTTTCTCTGAATTCTCAATTCCTCAAAGTCAATATGGAGAGAAAACATCCAAGAACCTAGTCCTGGAGCCTCTTGGTGTAAGGTAGCAGCTTTGGACTTAGATATCCTGGCTATCTGCACTCTGTCCATGGGACACCTCATTTTGGAACATATTTGCTGGAGCAGCAACAAGGCTACCTGTGGCATCCGACTATGAGCATTTTGTGAGTTTAGTGGGGATTGCTATGGGACCTATCATCTTGCAGCCAATGAAGCATTGTTGTGTTGATGAAGCTGCACCCTTGCTCTATCTTTCCCCCAGAACAACTATCTAAGGGACTAGAAAGATTATATTGGAAAAGAATCCAGGTTCAAATCTCCATTCAGAAATTAACTTGGGAAACCATGAGTCAATATGTTTATTTCAGCCTAACTTAACTTTGAAGATGGAAGTGCAGATAAATGCAGGTTGGATACTTTGGAAAATACTCTTTGAAGAGGGAATGGGATGACTCAGTTCAGACAGTTCAGCATGCCAGTTTCAGCACGGCCATTTCAGGAGAATGCATTGAACAGCCTCAGACTCATTTCTGTCTGCTGAACTGTCTCAGCTTCTCACGTGTTCTGAGAAATTGAACTTGTTTCTGCTAGGTGAGTTATTTGACAATTAATCATTTTGTCAATGCAATCAAGACCATTTTGTGAAATATCCTAAACACTTAAAAGAAAGGTGGGAAAACAAGTGTTATAAGTAAAGATGTTCCTAATTCTTAG